AGCAGCTGCTGTTCAGAGGGTTTACCGCCCAACCTCATCAGCTGGTAGGTCCTTGTCCACTTCGGTTTTAGCTTAGAGCGGTCCGGTTGGAGTGGGATAGGAGACGGTTGTGTGAGAACAGCAAAATCATTTTGAAAAAACTGAATAAAAATCCTTTCCAAAACACAGAATACTAATAATTACTGAAGCTGGTCAAATCAGAAGGCTTCGAGTGGCAGTAGGTGCTGAGCAGTAACTGGATTTCTCTGAACTGAGAAACGTCATCACCCATGGATGTTGGTGCACTCGGTCGGACCGCTGCAGCAAGAAGGTTGCAGGTTCAACACTTGGAGTTTGCATGTTCTCCTGATGCACGCTCTCTGACGAATAAAACGATGAACTCACTTAACCAAGTTCTGTCAACTGGTTCCACTAAACCAAACACACGTCTGCTTTTAGCACGCCGCGATGTCCATCTACTGGAACCTGTCGACAGAACTTGGTTGTATAATTTCACCACTTCGTTTCTTACAGGGTGTTTCTCCCACAAACTAACATCTTTGGTTGCTCGACAACTCCAGCTTGTCACTGGGTGCGGAGGAGCGGCGACCTGCCAGAGATTGGCGCCATCTCTTCACAACCCTCACAGGAAGAAACAGTTAAGAAGATGAATGAACTTTTACACAGAAACCCTCTTCAAAATGGCCGAACAATCCCCTTTAATCCTCGCTGTGTGAGCACGGGGGCACGCCGCCTCTCCGTGCACAAGCTTCGAGTCATTATTCAGCTTTAAAGCAGCTCACAGATGGTCCTCACAGGACATCGCATCCTTTACAGTCCGGACTCTCAGCTGACTAAACACGTATCCTGGCAGGAGGGGGGAACAGGAACGGCTAAACACCGTCCCGGCCTCCCACTATTCTTTCACAACACATGAAACATATAAGATGGCCACCATGAAGCGAACAGTTCAGCTAAGGGCTGTAGTGTTCTGATCCGACCGGGTTCAGGACCCGTGTTTAACGGCAGGGCAGCTGGCCGACGGCCCTCCGGGACCAAAGCGGAGCGAGCCGCTCACATATTGTGGCAAAGCTCATGTTAACATCTAACTTTAGGGTGTCGTGTCAAAGGTGGAAACGAGACTCTTACTACTGTGGGGCATGCGCCCCCTGAGGCCAACAGTGTCGTCCGGGGGGCAGCAGATGGGCTTTTAATTGAAAAATTTCACAATCTAAGCACATTCAGAGCCCTTCCTGGGATTTACTGCGCAGCCGTTTTGCTACGTGATGAATATTCTCGATAGGAGATAACGCTCCCCTCGCTTGCTTCCTATTTTTCATTTGGCACAGTCGCAGCATGCCATCTTATCAGCTGATCTTGAGCCAGGAGCTAGGAGTAGTTGCTCAGCAGAAAAAAGGCAGTAATTGTGCTGGGCTCGGCTATAAATACGAGAAGAGGCCTGAACGCTCTTGGATCAGTCCCATGCATTGTCCTCATCACGTTCTTCCTCTTCTTCCATTTGTCATCCTCTCTCCTTTCATCTTTTCCGTCCTACGCCTCCTCTCACTCCTCTGCACTCCGCTCACTCTTCCTCCACCTCTCTCCCTCGCTTTCTGCTCCACTTATAAGATTTGGCAGCACTCCAAGATCTGAGAGAAACATTGGAGGCGCAGCCTTGTTCTGATGTCTGGAAAGAGGGGGGGGGGGACGGAGTCCTGATTTCCATTTCACAGGCTTGGTTTGCAGCAAAGAGGAGGCAGCACTGGAATCTGGGAAGGTTGGTTGCAACCAGCAGTCAAAGAGAAACGACAAAACCCAAAGAGAAATGAAATGTTAGGTTCTCTAAATGCTGGAAAGAGGCGCACAAAAGGGACGAAAGAAGCGGCACTTTTAAAATCTGCTGCTCAGCACACACAGCAGAGCTCTGTGGCCGGGTTTTCGTGGCAGTCTAAGTAAAAACACACTTGGCACTCGACGCTGTAATCATCTTAACTTTGCAGGGCCTTTGCGGTAAACAGGCCAGTCACATGTAAACCCCCTCAGCGGACCAAAGCCAAGAATCTGAGGGGGGGGGGGCGAATTTTACACATCCTGCCGGTTTAGCCTCGCTCCTCCTAATTGCCGGTTTGGAGCTCGAGCTTCTCCCGAAAAGAGAAGCCATCATTACCAGCCTTGCCGGAGCTCCAGAGGGAAGCTTTGATTGATGAAACAGAAAAAGCAGAGGCAGATCTGAGCGTGCCCTCGATACAACATCTGCTGTGACCTTGTTTCCCCTGACAGGTCTAAAATTAACCCAGCGGATCAGTCATACTGGGAGTGGAGAAAATGTAGACCAGATCCTTCTTTTGGCGCGTCCCTGTCTCTGCTCGCTTTCCGAGGGTGGGGGGGGATTACTGCAGCACGAGCGTGCCTTTTGATTTATTGTGCTAAACATAGATTCATTAGTGAAACAGCTGGCTACGTTGAGTGAATTCATGTTTTCCTCCATTTTTCCACCCACCCACCGGACTAGCGTCGACCTTTTAGTGTACGATAAATACCTGCGGATTAGAATCAGAGGGATTTCAGAGGGAAGACGCTGTCGGTATCAGCGTTCCAGTCGACTTCCCTTTCTAACAGAACAAACGCACTCAGTGTGATGAGTGTTCATGCACAGTAACAAGTCACATCTGTTGGGAAAACCTGCACGTTGACTCTTAAAAGGCAACAAGTCTGACCTCTGACCTACGGCTAGCATCTGTTTTTGTGTAACACGCCGGGTTAGCCATCACAGAACAACAAAACGGTGGACTCTGCCTCGCCAATCGGTTTCTGCCTTCCACTCAGCCTGATTAACAGCATCGTGTTGGGTAAATCAATCAGTCCGTCAAGGATTTTTATGACCATCGATCGGTGCGTGTGCTGCAGCGGCCTGATAGAAGAACGCCTAGGTTTGCGTCACGTTTGCTCTGACTAATCCTGCAAACTTGGGCGCCGAGAGCCGAGCTCTCCCTCAGATCAAAGCTGCCACCATGAAGCAGAAATCTGAATTCATCTTTAGCCGAGGTTCCTCCAGGATCTCACCTGGTCGGGCCTCTCGTGAAACATCCCACCAGGTTTATTTATGTGTCCTCCTTTTCTGGAGGATAGTTTCAGGGTGAGAGCACATCAAAGCCAGCTTTGCCTCTTACGCAGCAGCTTAAATATTAAAACTCCCCGAGGGTTCTTGTAAGTAAACAGAAAGAAAGCCTGTGAGCCATTAACCACAAATGGCTTCTGCACGAGGGCTGCAGTGCAAAGAGGAATGCACGCTGGAAATTAGGCTGATTTCATCGTTTGGTTGGCTTGAAGCTCGTTTGCTCCTGCATCAGGTGCACCAGAGGATATGTTGTGCACCGGTCGCCATGCAACTCACGAGCTTTGTGTTAGGACAGGCCAACATCCAGGGACACCTTATTACTGTGTTTGTCTATTTTAATCACCACTCAACAAACAGGTATTGGCTGTGCTGACGTACATCTTTATGGGCAGAGGCATCGACTGAAATGGGTTTTTTTTACGTTTAGATGTGTCATGCTTCGAGTCCGGCTATAAAAACCTGGCTCTGTTTTCTCAGAAGGGTCACGCTGGATTTGGCTGCCAATAAAAAGCAATGTGATGAGGAACAGGTAGGTCAAAGACTGGAGGGGTATAAAAATAAAAACCCTCTGACAGCGATGCTGTGTGTGTGTGTGTGTGTGTGTGTGTGTGTGTGAGGGAATAAAGTGTTATCAACGTGGGCTGTGTTCCTAGTTTTAAAGTCCAACTGATAAGATAACTTTCCAAAGAAGGGAATGAGACACGTAAATAAACATCTGCCTTCAAATGGGTCACTGAGGGGGAAGAAGCGGCTCAGCTTCACGCTGCCACGGCTTAAAAAGTTCTACTTCTTTCTGTCCTTTTCCTGGTCTCAGGCAGAGGACACCCCGACCCTGCTGAGCTGGCCGAGCAGCAGCGGGGAGCAAAGGCTGTTTCCATTCAACGTCATGAATTAAACAGGACACAGATTACACACAAGCCTTTCAGAGATTAAAAAAATAGCATTTAAAGCACGGCTGGTCAACTAATCAGCTGATGAGTGGATCGATGAACCAAATTCGCTAAAATCAAAACTGCTGCAAATTACAGGCTGCTGGAACTAAAAGGAAGCAGATTGTGTCTCGGAAAATTGCGCAACAGCTCACTTTTCCCTGCTTAGATGTCAGCGTCCACTTAGTGCATCAGCTAGAGGAGAGGGGGTTCTTTGTTCTGAAATAGCATGAAAACAGACCAAAAACGTCTTCTCCCTTTGCAGAAACAGTGAGTGCAGCTTTAACAAGCCCCCCACTGATGAGTCTGGCTGCTTTACTCTGCTGTCAGAGGCAGAGCTGCAGTTTTGTTGGTTTTATGACCGAGCTGCAAGTGAATCTGCAACTGTTTGACGAGACTGAGCCGGTTTCTGCCTCAGCATCACTCGGAGTCTCGCTGCAGTGCTCATGCACCCAAAGCAAGCCTCATTGTGCTTGTTTGATTCAGGTTGTAGTTTTAGAGCCGAGGCGTGACTCTACGGGATATAAAAATTTAGTTTTTGTCAAAAACATAAACATTGGTGTGCACACCAGCGTGAAAATTAAAAAAAAAGGAGCAAAAATCCAAATTTAGCATCAAAACAAGTGACTTTGGCATTCATGCACTTCCTTATTACTGACTCAACAGATTCCTGTGGACCGAACATGACTTGGCATCCGTTTCTAAGCTCTGCAGTCTGGTTACAGCGGTGTAATTTTTGTTTTATGGAGCAAAGTTTGGACAACGCGCCTCCTTTTTTTCACGAAAGGCTGCAGAGATGCTGCGTTCCTGCAGCTTAAGCCTCTCGCCTACGTGTGTTGTGCAGCGTAAATCACGTCCGCCAAGCCGTCACAACAAGCCCTGCACGTCAGAGCCGAGAGCCCAAGCTCGTCACCTCTCCACAAAAGCCCGGCACCAGCGCCACGCACCCAAATGAAGCAAGCTCAGACAATAAGTTCATACAAGATCAGAAATTGTATTTGGCAATTTTTTTAAACAAGTGCATACAAGTACAGCTAAAAGCATTTTAGTTTTGCCAAGTGCTCGTAGAGTAGCATTAGTCACATTCTACGTTAAACAGGAACTGCCACCAGACCTAGAAGTACATCAAGAATTTTGTTAAACATCAACAAAGAGGAACGTAGTTCATTATGATGAGTACATACCTTTATCTTCAAAAATATAGAAACACAATGTATTCAAAAATCAAAAATTATACAACCATGTTTACGAAGTATACTCTTCCCTTGGGTCCAATATGTACAAGTCTGTTAGTTTGTTTGAATGGTATGTATGTGATATTTATATATTTATACTCAGATTTTTTGCCTCCCCTCCCCAAAGAAGTGTTCAGACAAAATCAAGGGTCCCTCTCCTTTTTTACTTTGACGTCTCCCGCAAGGATGGTGGCGATTTCTCCTTGCATGAAAGCCCACGGTACGTTTGAGCCAACCAGGGGACATTTATCTCCGCTTGGACAGTACACTTCGCCCGTAGCACCCTGCTGCTTTATGCTTTCCCTCGAGCACGGGAAGCAGAACTTGTGAGACGGCACAGACGGGCACTGAACAAAGTGCGTGTCCTCCAAACGCTCGTGGCACAGCGTGCAGCACAAAGGTATGCTGCCAGGTACCGAGGAGTCCGGAATGCTTTGGGGGTGCACCTGGTCCATGCCTGGCACTTGGGGGGTACCTGCGCCTGATGCCTCTCTCTGGGCCAGCCTCCTCTGATTCATGGAGGACGGTGACAGGGGGCTGCTGCTGTTCCTGCGGGTGGTGGAGTGGACTTGATTGCCATCCTTGGGAGAGCTGTTTCCACCTGCGTTATCTGCTGCCATGATGAGAGCCGCCATGGGAGACTGGCCATTCTGGGCTGCCTCAGGTGGGGTGGTGCGAGGGTGGGGGGATATCGTAGAGGGGGGAGAGGCGAAGCTCGGCGGGGGTACTGGTGGCATTTTCAGTCCTTCGTTGGGTGGTGGTAACCACTGCTGCCCTTCGCCGTTCAGCTTGGCAGCGGTGCCCTCTCCCTCTGGTTCAGGCGACGATGCTTTTCTCTTCATGCGGGGATGTTTTCCTCTGTCTGGAGGAGGGAAAGGGTTAAAGAGAACAGTTGAGTTGCACGGTTCATACCAGGAGATGCAATTTCCCTGCAAGGGACATGTGCACATTTGCTCTTCCTTCCTGCACCAACAGCAACAGCAGAGAAGCACAAATAAGCAACCTAAAACATTCCGCAGCACTCTGATCGACATTCACACGAAGTCTGAGGAGTCGTTTGATTCTAGTCTGGGTAAGAACGGGAGCAGAGGGACGCTTACCTGACTTGGACGCAGTGGCGCTGCTCTCGTAGCCCATAACCCTTTGTTGCATGGCCGCGTGCTCCTTCCTGAACTTGGTGGTGTCGAACGTGTGCAGAGCCATCAGGTCCCTCACCGTCTTGCCTTTGCTCCACTCCTGCTCTGCCCTGTTCTTGTGGCTCTCGGAGATCTCCGGCGTCAGACTGTCCGGCCTGTGCTTCTCCTTCACCTCCCTGTCGTGCTCCGTGCTGGACACCGAGGCGGGTCTCTTGCTCAGTTCGGCGGGACTGCCGCCTGCCAGCGCGGAGGGAAGCCCCATCTGGCCCGGCCTGCCGTTGACGTGCACCGGGGGCATGCTCCCGTTAGGCATCAGGTTCTGCGGGACCGAGCTATTCCTGCGCGGGTTGGGGCTCTGGCGGTTCAGCTCCGGAGGCTCGTCGGGTTTAGGAAATCCATTCGGGATCGGAATGCCGTTCGCCTGTCTGCTGGACTGGTATTCTGGACCCAGCCGGGGCGGGCGTTCGGAGGAGAGCGGGTAGCGGTCCAGGGGCTGCGGCGGCCGGGAGCCGGGGTCTCCCGCCGCGGCGTGGTTGATCCCCTGGATGTCCTTCCCGGAGAGCTGAGCCTTCCCCGGCCCGGGAGACCTCCCCTCCTGGAAGCCGTGAGCCCGCTTCAGCTGGCGGGCCGTCTCGATGACAAACTCAATGCGGTCAGCTCCTTCGTAGTTGACACATCCCCTGCAGACGGGCTCGGTAAAATCCCAGATCATGGCCCACGGCATGCGGGGCAGGTCGCATAAATAACACGACTGCCTCCTGGAAGAAGCAGCGACCGCCGCGGACGACATGGCGCTCGTCGTCGACACCTCCGATAGAAAAACCCCCAAAATGTGTCTTCCTCTCCCGCTTTCCTGCAACAAAAGCCGAACAAACAACAATTTCCGTCGGTTGGGAAGAAAAGAGACGTTCCTGTCCCGACTTTAAGAGCAACAAGCGTGAAGTTTTAGAGGGAGAAGTTCATGTCGGTGTGTACTTTACTCCAGCGCTGCTCTATCTACCTCCGCCGACTCCACTACTGGCTCGATGTGGAGCAGTGACGTCACCACGCCTGCTTCCACTTCAGTTTCTGTTGACTTGATTTCTTCGACAGCCCCCCCCCCCCCCCCCCCCCCCACGCAGCCTCACGTCACTCAACGCTTCTTCTTCTTCTTCTTCTTCTTCTTCTTCTTCTTCTTCTCGTGTTTTTTTAAGTCTTGTTTTTAGTGTATCCACTCGGAACTGGAGCCAAAAGCAGCACCCAGATCAGCCAGAAGTATTTTCATGAAAAATAAATAAATAAACGAACAAATAAACATCCGCGCGGGACATGAATGGAGACTTTTGATGTTTAAAAACACCGGCTCAGTGATTTTAGGGATTAAAAAAAAAGCTTTCGATCTCTTCGGGTTTGCTTTGTCCTACTTCAGAGTATTATCCAGCAGCTGCGGTTTATTTTGCTGCCACGACGCAACGAGCTGCTGCCGCCGCTGTTGTGAAATGAATGAGGTGGGAAGACACAAAAACAAGCCACTGTAGTCCGTTTTTATTTATTTTGCACCACATATATACAAAGCTAATTTCAAGAGAGATTCCTCTTCATTTATGCGCAAGAATGTTTAGATTTCCTATTATTATTATTATTATTATTATTATTATTATTAAGAACATGAATAAAGGGGCTCCAATAGTCTGTAACCAGGAAGCGTTGTCACGAGGCGGGGATTTCCAGCCTGTGTGGTTTCAGGTTACAGTGTGACTATAATAATCCAAAGATTGCCACGAGTGAATCAATAACACCTTTTTCTATTTTTAATATCTCACTCAAACCAGCTCCTGAGTCTGAAAAAGGGTTTTGGTGTGAGAGTTTTCTACGAAAAGGGAAATGTTTCACGTATGAAGGCACCAAAACCCCAGCCTAAATCCCCTGAAGTAAAACAAAAAGACAGAAATAAAGGATTTGAAAGTGGAGGAGTGCCCCAGCCGTTCAGATTCCTCCCCTCTCATCTGGGCTCAGTCCAACCGGTTGCAGCTTAGCCCTCGGGCTTTGGGTGAGGCAATGCGTCTGAAACTTGCAGACACAAAGCAGGATATGTTTGTGCAAGTCCATGTGACGTTGGAAAGAGGAAGCAAGTTGTTTAGTCACGTACCCTCATCCGCCTCACCCATCTACAGAACATGAGGCCATTTGGCAGCACGCCTGCAGCCATGATCGTGCACCAGGGGCAGGAGGAGGCTTTCCTCTCCACCAATCACACGTGTCTGTCCTTCTACACTCTCTCATAGGTGTTTTCCTACTCTGTTATTATTAGCACACATGCTTTCCCCATTCGCCTCAAATCTCAGTCGAACAACAAAAGGATGAGCTTTTTTGACACGGTTGGGAAATGAATGTTGTGAGGGAGAAGAATAAATAAATTCCTGCCTTGAGATTGGTGGGAAGCCTTAAAAAGCTGCTTTGATCCTTCTGCTTTGCACTCATTTGTGTGAGCAAATAGCTGCAGGGGCCAAACGGCTATTATGCAGGACGAAGACATGCTGAGATTCATTTACAGCTAAATAACTTGATCTTATAAGAAGATACGAATGCAAAGCGAAGCAGGCAGAACAGATAAATAAATGCGACATGAAGCCAGGCACGCACAGATGGCCCCGAATGGCAAAATACGCGTGTATACAGTAAAACCACTGTGGTGTGACCTGGCTGGGGGCCATCTGATTTGAGTCTGGCCACCAAACCAGATGGAAAATCTGTATAATTCTCCTTTACACTAACTTCTTCCTTTTCGTCCTCAGACTAAATAAAGCCTGAGACCTAGGTGACGGCCAGGGGAATACCCAGCGTGCGACGGCTTCACAGGGCCTGATGAGGTGACGTTATTTTTGTTTTATCACTCTCCGAGCCCGTTAAATTTTATATCACACATGCTTTATTCATGCAGGCGAAACATTGCAAATTCTCTGTGAAGTTTGCCACTCAGAGCTCGGTGCTGGATGCTGTTTTTTGTGCCCCCCCCCCCCCCCCCCCAACATTTATGTTATATAACCAGTTTTTGGGGAGAGAAGCATCAGAGGTTACTAGAACTGAATTTAAACTGCAACGCTGGAAGAAATGTGAGACCTGAAGACTAATTGCACGCTTAACACAGTTCCTGTATGTGGAAGGTAACCATGGAGACAATCACATTACCCCGGCTACCATATATATCCTGTTTACGGTCCTATTTTTAGCTACGCGCCAGCTCTGCAAAAGATTAAAGCGCTGATTTAAATTAAGGAAGCTTCTGCCGGAGGAGTTTGCATAGCCAGTTCTGATTCAGACAAAACTAGTTGAATAAGGAGTGAACTTTGATTTTTTTTAAAGTGAAAAGGTGGAATTCAAATAAAATGGAGGGTCGAAGACGAGAGGAAAAATTTGCTGGGCGGCTGGAATCTGGGGGCTGCAGGCTGCAGAGGTGATGTCATTGGCCAGAGCAAGAGGCGAGTGAAAAACAAGTCTCTCTCTTTATTCCTTTATTCTGATCCTCTTTGCAGTCCCAGCAGGGGGGGGGGGGGGGGGGGGTTGGCTGGCAGCCAGCCAAGGCAAGGGCTGCTGGGAAATGGTGGAGGATGCCAAGCAGGCCCCACCACCAACATTAGAAGCTCACATCTTTGTTCTCTGAAACCTGGTGTGCTGCCAAAGGCCTCATTTCAGCTCCATGGCATGATTACACTGGATGTGGGCCAACTACTGAGAGCTCTCCCTCCCTCCCTCCCTTCCCCTGGACTCCCTCTCTATCGCTCTCTTTTTCCACTGCCTTCAAAAGCCTTTCTGCCAAACATGCAGCAGTTGCCATGGCTGCAGAGAATGGAGCATAAAAAAGAGAGTAATGAGTCAGGCTTGGACCCAGATGTGCCACATGTGTATCCATTTAGGGAGGGGGGGGGGATGAGGGAGAGAGAGAGAGATGGTAACATATCCCCTTAATCTGCCCGCCTTGTCAGGGACGGACGACTTAGAGAGCTGGGGGAGGGGAGGGGGGGAGGAAAAAAATCCCCTCAGAATAAAAGACGTAAATGAACAGCTTTGTTTTCACTTCCACTTTTAAACAGCAGGTAGTTTCAGTGGCTTGCGGACTGAGTTTGCAACCAGGAATAGAAGGAACCGAGTAGTTTGTGATGCTGCGCTCATGTATAGCAAGCTGACGACATCACTTCCTGTCCAATGGAAACCCCCCTCCTCCCTCCCTGGTTTATGTTACTCATATATTGATGTAAACAACCGTCTGCAGGAGGTTTAAACATCCAGTTCGCCGACATCGCCATTTATTCACCTCAAAACTGAAGAGAAGAGGGTTTGGAGCCTGAGCCACAGCTGCGATGTTCAGATGAGTGTAAAAACGTCAGAAATGTTGCTCCGTTGCACGAAGCCTCGTGCACATTCAGAGTTTCCAGCCGCTCCTGCAGAGTGAAACTGTGTACCTGTTATGCTTTTGACTCGTTAAAACTCCAGCGGGACTTTTACGCATCGTGTTTGTTGCACATGAACTGGGGGACGTTTTAGATCCGAGAAGACCAAAGTAGTATTTACCTGTGAGCCAAAATAAAACTCGGCCTAAGTATTCCTCTCTCACAGCAGCTCGCATCTATTCTTTCTAGAAAACGGACTCTGACAACTCTGGTGCAGCGGCTCTCGCTGCACTCAACTCCCAGATGCGGAGGATGTAATCTGTTCAAAGCGCGGGTGTCATCTTCACCGTCTTGCAGGTGGAGCACAGCTGATTTTAGCTTTAGTCTTTGCATACTTCCCCTTCTGCAGTTTTAGAAAAACCCTGTTTGGATATTTATAGTCGAGATCTGAGCAGCTGCTTCTCCAGAAACACCCGCCTTAAAAAGGCTCTTAGCCGTCGGGCTCGGTGATGTATAGAATACAAACAACACGAGGATGTTTGTAAGGAAAACTAAGAATAGCCGAGGCTGACCTAATTGGATAACTTCGGCTCATTTTGGAGGATTGAAAACAGCATGTGTTCAGCTAAGGAAAGCATAAAAGATGGTGGATAGTGTGCCATATTGTTTACAGATGTTTTGTGGTTGTATCTGAAGAGTTGTACGTCTTCAGTTTCCTCTAAAGTCATTCACTCGGAAACTGCGCTTCTTCGGTGGTGATTATAAATCAGCCGAGGTTCCCGCTCCTCTCAGCCCGCCCTTTGATAGTCTGGTTTTATGGCCGATGTTCCGACGTTCCCCATCAGTGTTTGAGCCAGACGTGTCCTTCCTCGTCTTTCCACGAAAGTGCAAGTAGTCACGATGGTGTGGCATTCATTATGCGCCTGTGGTTTCGGCTGTGGAGGACTGCTTGTCGCGTTCCTCCTCCGAGGAAGATGGAAGGACCAGAGCACCAGCGCCGTCTCCCTGTCTGTGTGATAAAGTCGTCGTAACCGCGGCGTCTGGGGCGTCTGGGCACACGATGTTTCACCTCCCCTCGTCCACTTCAAAGCTTTCAATCAGGAAACGAGTCGCTGTGAAGAGCTGGAATAGAAAATAGAGCTCTGATGCTATGTGAACCCAAGAGCGTGTGAATTCGAGAGGATGCATAAAAAGGATTAGGACCTGGATTGTGGCGTCTTTCTTTGGTTTCTGATGATCTGTAATATTTTTTTCTGTCGGTGCGTTTCTAGTTATAGATAAATATGTCATAAGCTGCTGGACACATTTGATTAGCAGCTCCATTGTAAGAGGCCACCATCACTAAATAAATCTTAAACTCTAGTGTTAACTCAGGAGATTTTCAGCTTTAGGGTGTTTTCACACCTGCAGTTTGTTGTTTCTCCTGTGTTCGGTTTCTTTTCACACAGGGAGATCATCAAATGATACACAATAAGGACGTTCATTCTGCTGATTGGTAAGATCACCTGGGGGCGGGGCTAACACAGGTAATAACAGGAAGAAGGTTCTGATCCCAAGCCAGCTGACAACACGGTCTAATCCCCTCTCCCTGAGCCATTTGCGAACTGTTTGTGTTTCAGTATTTTTATAATAAATATAAAGTATCAGTGAGGAAATAGATCTCGTTGATCTCCAGCATCAGTCCGCGCTTCATTTTCCACTAGCTAGGAGATTTTCAGTTGCTACAGATGTGTGTGTGTCCTCCTGCATCCCAGAATGCAACACGAACTCGGATTTTGCAGAGTACTAGGGGTGGGAATCATAACCTGTTTCTAGAAATCCCTTATCAACTCCAGTCAGCGTGAATTAAGTCACCAATGCCAGCAAACTCTGATGATGGCGAGAGTCCCTAAAGTAAAAAACTGTTTTTTTTACTAAGCTGTGTAAAAAAAGAACACACAGAACGTACAAAAGAGTATCAAGACCACCTCTGTCGACACTGAAGTGAGAATACTGCGTTCATGCCTGAGTAAACAAACTACACCAAGGAGGAAAACGTACCAGGAATGGTGTGAAGATGACCTTAGAGTCTGTGTGGTGGTGGCTGACAGTTATTTCTAGCTAACTTCCAAAGATGTTTGCCTGAACTTGTGTATCACCTCATATCTGTCAGGCCTGGTTCACACAGAGAGATGTTTATACCGATTTTTGACCAGAACCAGCTCTTCTGGCATTCTCAGGGACACCTCAGATTAACGCAATGGCTCTAAAGATAATCTCATCAGATATTCCTATCATGTGTGGTGTGTTAAGAGTACTGTCAGGACTGCTCTGATCACGAAAATGGGATATTCAGTACGTTGGATTGTGACATGTAGCCAATCAGAGAGTGACGTGACCGAGACACGCTACACAGAGTGAGAGGAATCCAATTAAAATCCTATTCCTTGGCCGCCATGTTTGTTTATGCTAAATTCACCATTGATCTCAAGAGGTTTTGCGAAATTTCCCCTCTGACCAGGGAACGTTCATGCTACGCGTTTTGTCTTTGCCATGTAGCCGCACATCACCTACTGGCCACAAAACTGTTATATCCGTGACTTTTTATCGCCACGTGTGTGGTCTCGTGTTTTGAAAATCTTTAGATAATTTCAAAACCTTGCTGTGGGAACCAGGCCTTAGTTAACGTTTTACTCCAAATAGAAGCAAGCTAGCTCAGATTCACAGGGAAAAATGTGTGAAAGCACGTCACCGAGCTTAGCCTACGGACAATTGTTTCTGGTGAATGACAAGTTGCTTAAGAAGTAGTTTAACTGGTGGCTGACATGTTGCTACAACTTGCTGAATGAACACCAACAAGACACAGAAATGTCTCTCACACACCCAGATGTGGACCATTTAGACTTTTAATCAGATCTTCTGTGCTGTGAATAAACAGCAAGTCGTTCACAATGTTGGAAATGTTCAGTAAAAAGTCCAAATCTGGTCAAAATGTGTTGCTCAGCATCGAGTATGGGTGCTTTTAATTTATCGTCACAAATTCCTCAATCTTCTGAACCCTTGGAGGTCATTAGCAGACATTTTTTCTCATGACATCATTAAGAGAACTTGAAAAACTCAACCGGTTTTAACGACACTGAGCTAAAATGACGTTTCACCGCCCGTGCTGGAGAGTTTTTGATCAATTGGAAGTCTCGTTCTTCGTTAATGTGAGCTGTTAACTAATCAAATCTCTTGGTCCTCTGAGGGCCGCTGATGCTGTGGAACGCCGTCAGTTCTCTACAGGAGATGGTGTTTGTTTAAACCTTTGACCTTAAGGACAACATGAATTCCTTTAAGGCCGTTAATTCTGGTTTCACTGAAGGTATTTCTGTCCCGTAAGAGGACATTTGATCAAGTATTTCTATCGGATGCAACACTGAAGCATTCCTAAAATGCCCTGACCTGACGCCATCAATAAACAAATCAGCAGCTGACGTTAGAAAATGGAGAACTACGCAAGACGAGGAACATGTGAACACATTGAATCATAGAGGAAACTATGTTCCAGTACCACAGACCGGCAGTGTTTGCATTTCACTTTATTTTGTTTTGAAATGTCTTGGTGTTTTCTGAAGCGGACAATTCTTTTATGACCCAACGTTGTAAACCTCCCAGGCAAACTGGTTCTGCAACAAAGAGAATGACAGACGTTATTATTCTTAACAGGCACATGGTGGATAGTTTAGTCACCACGACAGGGCAGGCACTAGTGTGGGAAGCCGCCTCTTAAAGCCTTGACGCAACAGTCGCGTCTCAGAGGAACGCAAAAGGAAAAGAGAGCACTGTGGGAAAGTTCGGTGCCCTTGGAGGAGTCCGATAAGGCGATACGCACCTGCATGTTTGTGTTCTGCAAATTCTGTAACAACTGCAGTGCTGATACACCAGACGCCTGCAGAAAACGCAGCTTTCCGAAGGGCACGCTGGGCGTGGCGAACTTTATCTCTGCCAGTTCAGTTTGTGTGGGTTCGGTGCAGTCGTACGGGTTTGGGCAGAAGCTGCTTTCAAACTGCTTTAACGCATGAACCGTTCAGACTCTCCTCCCCCTCTTCTTCCTTTAGTCAAGTGATGAGATCCACAGTTGGATCACAAGAGTGTAACCTGATCTTGCTCTATGCAAATCATCCGAAAGCTCTTTCTCTCACCAAAGAGGGATAGAGTTCACCTACACCGCACAATGGGAGGGAGGAGTCAGACAGCCTTGAAGAGGAAACGGTCTCAAACCAACTGACACGTCTAGGTACACCCAGGTTTGCCCTGAAGGACAAACATGCCCCCCCACCACCCCCACCACACACACACACACACACACTTCTCTTTTCACATCTGCTTTGTTCATCAAGAAGCGTCTTTGCAGAGCGGGAGTCATTCTTCCTTCCCGGGGGTGTGTGAAGCGCTCTGTGCAGCTCGTGATGAAATCACCCCACTCAGAAGTGCCTTTGCCTTACAAGAAGACGAGCAAAGTTCAAATCCTGCGTAACTTGAAAGAGGCCTCGCCGTTCTCACATGATCCTCGCAGAGTTATCGATTTACAGCGTGGAGAGGGAGGAGACGGAGCGTCTCTTTCTGGGTAAACGCGCTGCTCTGTTGCTGCCTGAACTAGTTAACGCAGGTATTCACCACATCACCTTTCAGCTCATTAACCTGCACCGACACGAAACCCGTCACTCGGCACCGGGGCCAAGCTCCCTCTCCCTGCAACAAAACAATTCATTCGGAGAGCGGCGCTTCCATTATGAAACCACTCTGTCACAAGACCAGCGCCTCACAGGAATGCTGTTGTGACACATGCGTGCTGTTGACACAAGGGTTAAACATTCAACCACACACACACACACACACACACACACACACACACACACACACACACACACACAAGCTGCCAAAAGGGCGGGAACTGCTGCCACACCGGTTTCTGTTTGTCTTTCCACTTCGGCTGACTCCGCCTCCTAACAATCGTCAGGATAATCAAGGAAAAAGGTCTCCTGTAGCTGCAGCCAGGTGCCATGGGGTGCGATGATTCACACAGCACTGCCCAGCAGACTACCTCGCATGCTTGGAGAGATTAGCAGAGGTCAGCGGGTGCTTGTGTTGGATATCATGTGGTGCGGATCTCTGGCTTGGTGCAGAGGGTTCAGCGGGAGTTCAGGACAGATTCATTATTCACGCTTTTCTGTGTCCTAAATGAAAGCACAGTGGAGCCCGGTGCTGTCTCTGAAAAACATCAGAATTTTAATTTCCATTCATGTTCTGAATGAAAAGTAAATTTAAAGTTTAGTTTAGTTTGTTTCAGGGATTCTTCGACGTAATGAGTTTTGTCACGGCTTCCAGAATCCCTGCTCAACAATTCCAGGAAAGCTGATCCACCTGGAAATCTCACCACTTCCTGAATCTAATTCCAGGCCCGTCTGACTAGCAGCTTTCATTGAGGGGTGTAAACACCGAACGTCAGACATGTCTGCCAGAGCCGGCGTTGAAATAAGCATCAGTCCTCACGTAATGCCCGCAGTGAACTCAAAACGGCCCAGCAAAGCCCTGAATCCGTCCTCTCGCCCGTCTAGCAGATTTATAGTTTGGCGTGAGCTCCAAGAAGGAGCCGGCAACCGCGTGAGTCTTCACCCAGACCGTGCGACAAATGTTACCGGCGGGTTTTCGAGAACCTACGATTGCATTCTAGATCTGCAAGGGCTCGACACCACCGAGGGAGAATCCAGAACAAAACCTCCTCTCATCTCGCAATGTGCTGTGTTGGCGGACCGTGACCTCATCCAAAGTTTACACGCAACCGCCTCATGCCGCTTTGTTATCTTCAAACCAGCACATTCCAGCCTTCAGCAGCAACACACACACAAAAGTGTCAGCCTGCAGATCCTGCTGCGCTGTGAGAAACACGAGCAAAACAAAGGGCCAGGTCACCGAGTGAGCAAGAGGACGTTTCATGAATTCAGAGCTCGCGGGACAGAGCCTCGAACTCTCAGAAGTAGAAGGGTTGACATGTGTAGGTCAGCGGAGAACCCATCTGAGCTTACTCAGCAGCCCGCACCAACAGCACAGCTTGCTTTACGTCTTTTTTTAAACGGACCACAGGGTAGTAAATAGCTGCGAGAAGGATCGCGAGCCTCCTCAGCTGATTGGCTCGATGCTGGCCTGACATAAACAGGAAGCCGGCCATGCAAGTCGGAGAGGGGCGCAGGCGAAGGAGAAACAAGCTGCAGAACGTGGCGGTGGCGGCAAAAGAAAGACAGAAATGTGTGAAGGCTTGTGGGATTTAGAAAAAAAGAGTCTTTGTGTTTGTAGTGTGCCATGTGACTCGTGGAGGAATGCAGGCTGATCCAGGTCTCTGCGCCGTCAGCAGGCGGTGTGCAGTAATAATGCTGATGGTGTGTGAAGTGATAGTGAAGCAAGAAGATGCAATAAAAGAAAAAGAAGGAAAACGACACCGCGGAGGCCTCAGAAGGAACGTTCTCCGACTCCGGACATGCTGTGGCTGCACATTTTGAAACCGAGCTGTGCAAAAGTGGTTTGAACTCATTCCTGTTTTTATTTTCGTTGAGTTTCACAACAGAGGGATTACATAACCAGAAGCATAACAGCTACTAAAATGACTTCACTTCCTCGTTTCTTCACCCGTTCGGGGTCGGCGCCACGGGTCCTCTTTTGAACACGTGCTTATTTAGTGATCTGAAACCAGATCAGAAGCGTGGCTATCAGGTAGTTTATCTTTGAATAACCAGCGTTGTTATCTCTGCTGTTGCGGCGCCTCTGCTTGAAGCGCTGTGACAGAGCAAAGGCCACTTGGTGGAAATAATAAGTGACATATCAGCCCTGTTACCCAAAGAGCTGTTAGAGAAACAGCCCTCCTCCCTTCCTCTCCTGTCAGCCCACGGTTCCTGTCGCCTGGATGTGAAGGTCAGATTTTTAAAGAAGCACAAGTGCCCCCTCTGACTGACTGGTTCAAACAGGCCCTGGGAGGAATGGTGGTGGTGGTGGTGGTGGTGGTGGGGCGTGGCCCTCTGAGCATGCTCAGTGAGCAGGAATGCTGTGTGATGGAAACACGCACAGTGGGCTCCCCCCATCTGCTGATGCAGAGTGCACTCCTCGCCCCCAGGCCCTTTTCCATCCAGTCTAGTGAGCAGCCAGATCAATTTACTGCAGAATGAACACAAAGTCAGTGGCTGACGCACGCACGCACGCACATAATCACACATTCTTTGTGTTTGTCAATGGCTCGGCTCTGCACTGCAGCAGGCTGCTGCGTAGACAAGCACACGGAGGATTTTACTCATGCATGCAAAAAAGGAAAACTGGAGAGAGAGAGAGAGAGAAGTGGAGACTGAAACACAGCCGATCTATTATCCAGGAAAACGCTTCATCTTTGATCCTTGCTGCATGCACCTTACTGGGACTGGGCTTCAGAATAGAATTATGCTGACTCATCGGATACACACAAGCACGCATACACGTACACAACCAAACTTGCCTCCAGATTCAAGACTAAACTGGTTTTTTGGGGTCGTTCTGAAGCTTCCTGAATTTCCTGGAGAAATAGCTAATGCTGTTCACGACTGATGAGCTAACAGCTAGTCTGGGTGTAGCTAACCTGGATTTCCCTCTGGTTGTGTTAGCAGCGCCTGTTAACTCCCTTCCTTAGATGCAAAAGTGTTCCATGCAGCTGGTCCCACGAGGTCACGAAATCACCTGAGAGCTACAAGATCACGCGTGATTTCAGCATTTCACACAATAACAGGAAAGGAGAGACGGCAGCATGCATTCAAAAGGTTTGTGGTTTGTTTTGTGCTCTGTTTACCTCACGGAGGTTTCACAGGTAATGACATGCTTTTTTTTACTAGTTAAGCAACTGGAAATCTGCATGTGACTTTTATTTTGAAAGTTTCTGGATGTTTTACACACAGCTTTTGTGTTTGACTTCCTGTTTTGCTCAATCTGAGCTGCGGAGCTTGACACGTTCTGGAAGAGTAGCACCTAAAAAATAATCTTCAAGTGTAAATTTAGAGCAGTACTACGCTTCCGGGAGGTGTCCAAAAAGTGGCGCGCTGTGGCCGTTGGAAACGCACCTGACCACTGTCACGACTATAATGGCCAATTGCTGCGTATCACACTTCACGAACGCTTACGTGTCTGGTGGACTAAAGTCGTAAAACAGCAACACTTTGTTCTGATTGCATGATCCTTTCTGCAGAAATCTTCAGAAAACGCTGCTGGGCTTGACCTCTGGAATCACCGAAGCGTCTGCCGTATTAGCACACCATGTCTTAAAACTGAGGCCATTCAGGAAGCATTTTACAAATAAAAACATTAATTGTTTATGAGTTGTACTGAGAAAAACACACCAACCATAGCTTGGCAAAAAAAAAAAAAAGCCAGAAGATTAAGGATAATTTTTAAAGCTATCATCATCTTAGTGAAGTGGAAGCGTGTGCGTGTTAAATAATTCAAGACCCCAGTCTGCTGACTATGCACCCCAGGGTGCCACTCTTAACTACTCTGACAAAATGGTGTGGCCTGAAATGTGATGCTAAGGCGGACTGTCGGGCCGACTCCTGTATTTGGTGAGAAAGCGTTCATTTCCAGGACTGAATACAAGTCGACGAGCAGCTCGATCGTACCT